CTTCATGTAACTGATAAGAAAGGCACCAGCTTGTATTTTGCACTGACCTCTACGTGTGTAACCCATTTTTACAAACAGGTCTTCAATTCTTGAGTACCCAGAGTCTATCTGCCTTGTATCTTGGCTCTCCAAGAGAAACGCACAGCACAGCATATGTACTTATGCTGAAGCAGTACCCAAGGCCCTTAGGAAAGAACTCCCCAGGACTGGGCCTGTGTTCTGAAGGCCTTAAAGCCTTCTAGAAGCTCTCTACTGTTATATCTCGTTTCTACCAGCAGGTCAGCAAGGGATGGCTGAACTGCTTTGCACCAAGAGCTGCTGGGTCTTGGACCTGGCCAGCAGGCCGGAACCCAAGTGGCTTTCAGCACAGTTTCTGTCACCACATGAAGCCACACACATGGCAATTTCCCTGAGATTAAAAAAAAAAAAAAAAAAAAAGATGTTTGCACTGATGTAAACAGTGGTGTTAGATTTAACAAAAAGATGAGGAAGTCAGTCAAAAAGAAGAGACTGCTTTTCTAACATGGGGGCTGACGGCTCTAACTGCAGGGCTCCCTGGACATAGGCAGGGCTCCCAGGATCTTGTGACTGCTAGGGCCTGGCTTTAAAGACGCTTACATTAATTCCACAGTGACGCATAAAGGATTATCTATTAATTGTTGTTACATTATTGTTATTGTGTGTGCACACTCCAGCACATGCGTGCGGGTGCCCATGTTGGGGTCAGAGTCAGAAGACAACTGTCTGGGTTTCTCTTTCCGTGGTGGTTTCAGGGGATTGAACTCAGGTCAGCAGGCTTGCAGGACAGGCCCTTTTACCTGACAAACCACCTCTCTGGCCACAGTGAGATTTCTGAGCTGTGGACAGTGGGAGGGAGGTGACAACTGACTGGGGCACTGTCTGCACTGCAGTCCTGCCTGCATCCTTGTAGTCCTAGCAGCCCTGGCTCCCCTCTGGGACACAGTCACTTTAGAGGACTATTAGCAGATGTCATTTGCTGTTTGTCATTGCTGTTCAACTTGCAGGCTGCTATGGCCAGATTTTAAATTGCTTTTGGGTCTTCTGATATAGGACATCGCTGTTGTCACCGACTTTAGGAAACACAGCCATGAGCAGTCACCCCATCAATCATTAGCAACAAGAAACCACTTATCAACAGGGGAAAGAGAAGTGGGGGGGTGCTGCTTCTTGGGATGAGTAAAATGTACTGATTTCAGGGTTTTTTTTGGGGGGGTTCATGACAGGATTTTTTTTTTTAATATCTTTTTTTTTTTTTCCTAGAGAGTTCCTCACAGTGCTCTGACAGAAGCCAGCTGTGTATACTAGTGGTTTTCCTAGAGTTGAAGAAAAAGTGCCTTTCAGGATGATGACTTTTTTTTTAATTTATCTGTAGAATCTGGGACCTGGTGTGGTGACTCTCTGAGGTCAGCCTTAGGAGCTGACATTGCCCTTGGGACAAGCCAGGGGCCCACCTGAGAGGCCAGGCTCTCTCTCTCTGCTTCCCTTCATTTATAACTCCCCCATTATAAAAAGAGAAAAGCAGGGAAAGGCCGCCTCCTTGCCCGTTTGACTTGTTTTTAGACTCTCTGACACCCAGGTGCTGATTTGGTCGAGTTAGAAATTTACTAACTAAGAAAGACACATCATGTATAGAGTTTGCTCCTTCCCAGGGCCTGACCCCAAGACCTTCACGTTGCAATTATTTAACTCTCACTGATGTGGCCCTGGCTCTCTTCCTTTCTAGCTGGACTGTATGTATAAAAAGTGTCCTCTTCATTCAGTGGGCGGTCCCCCTGGGACCCGTCAGGTTCTGCTGTACAGGGGACCACAGAGGAAAGTAGCAGGTGCAGACAGGTTACACACAGAAATCCCCGAAGTCCGTAGCGGGAAAATAGTCTTCCTCCCTGTCCGCATTTCTCAATGGGGTTGGAAAGCTCCTTCTGTACCTAGTCCCTGCTGTAGTCAGAAAGTCTCTAAGTCTTCCGCAAGGAGACTGGCACGCACATGCGCCACACAGCACTGCACCACACCGAAACGGCTTCTCTCATTTTGTAGAGAAGAGACTGGGGAGAAATTGAGGTTTCTGGAGGGTGAAACCACCAATGACAGAGGCCAGATGTGAGCCTGTGCTGCCCATTTCCAAAGCCTAACTGTGCCTACCCTGGGATATAGGTCCTGGAGCTGCTATATGTGTGGGTGAACTGGAGCCTACGCCCCCCGCCCCGCCCTGTTGGAGGCAAATGGGTCATGACAGAAGGCTTCAGAGCCGTTAGCGGGGAACTGACCCCACAACTTGGCCTACCATCAGTCAGCCTGCCATTTCTTCTTAGGACCACTGTCTCCTATAACAACCTCAACGAGTTAATAGAGCAATAGCAAAAGCCAGCTGTCATTACAGAGATGTACTGTCTTGTTAGTTTAGGCAGGCTTTGAACTTGCCATAGAGTCTAGGCTGCCCTCGAACTCATAATCCTGTTCCCTCCTGAATGCTGGGATTATAAGCATGTGCCACCACATCCCATAGCTGCCTTTTAAAGGTGAGGATTATCAGTCCAGTGGCTAGTGAGCTCCGACTTGTTTGTTGGTCTGTTTTAATGCCTTCTCTTCTAGATCTTTTTGGGACTTGAAGCATGTGATGACTCTTGCTCAGACCCTGAGAACTTGAAGTGTCCTACAGAAACCCACCAAACACTAAGGATCCACGAGTGCAGCACCTATATTACTTCCTTGTGGACACTTGGAGTATCTTCATCTTCAGACCCTGGGCCACAGAACCATGGAGGAATTGTCTCAGCTCAAAAGAAGCCTACACCTAGCTTTAATTGTGATGTAGCCATTGCATGTGATCTTAGCCTTGAACTACAACTGTCCACTTAGTGGAGAAAGTCCTAAGAACCAGCCATGAGAGGGTTCCCACTACTGCATGGGAACGAACCCTCAGGTCTGCCAGCACAAGTTCTGACTGGGATTCTTGATTGCCTAGTCCATGTGACCCTGCTAGGATCTAAGGGATAGAAGCCCAGGGTGCAAGTCTCCTGCCTCCACAGATCTGAGATTCTGAGTGGCAGTTTCATTAAGTCCATACGCTATTCATTCTTCAGACTTCCTCTCTGATAGTTCTAGAACACTCAGTGGCCTTGAGTGTCAGCAATCCTATGAGGAGCCTAGGTAAGAGCCCTACTCGCACTTCTAATGCTGCAGGCTGGGTTAGGCCTCAGCCTAAGCATGGAGCATGTGGAAGTGTCACCTGCTCCAGGGCATGGCCCCGGGCTTCTCTGCTGTAAGGTTAAGGACTGGCTGTCAGTCAGTGGGCTGCTGTCCTGACTCAGAGGGGGCTGCTGTGCGGAGCCCCACTTCAGACAGGGACAAGCATGGTTCAGGGTTTAACAGCCGGTACAGAGAGCCTCCAGAGATTCCAGTCCAATCTGCATTTAGGTCTATTCATAGCTTGGGCAGTTTCCTATTGTCAATCATGCAAATCTGCTGCGAAATGAAGTATTTACCACCAATAGGCTTTGAAGGGGTGTTGGTGAGGAGTGAAGTACTGTCTGTGCAGTGTGAGATCCGGGAGTCCTTGAAAGTATTGTGTTTATGTATAAGACATTTTCATAGAGCCTTTGCAGCCGAGCATCTCCGTGCCCTCCCTGAGAATCCTGGTCTTGCAAATGCTTGCAGGCATCCTCCAAGGCTATCAGGGGAGATGAAGAGGCCCAGGAGAGGCTCCGTATTCCTTCTGCTGCCTTCAACTTGGGCGGCCTCTTCCGTGTGGCAGCAGCCAGCAGCAGCTTGGCACATGCCCTTCCTTGCCTCCAGACCTACTCCCCACTTCACGAGCAGAATCGAGAAGGCCAATTTAATTGAATTGATTGCCACTTACAACGCTGCCGTTACTCCTCCGAGAGGCCTATTTAAAGTTTCAGAACTACAGAGAGATAACAAAATAAAAAGCAATAGTGTAAGGCAATGGACGATTATCAAATTGCTCCGGGAACCTTCAGTGTGAGAAAGATATAAAAGGAAGATTGAAAGGTGTTAGTCTATGAGTCTCACCGAGGTCACAAGCTGAGACCTTTCACAAAAGACTTAAGAAACAAAACTTTAGAAAACACACACACACACACGCACACACACGCACGCACACACAGAGCAGTCATATCAGATTACTGCGAGTTCTTATCGTCGATTACACTAAGACCATTAGCCTATTTTAAATTCCTGTGGTACAGCACAGAGTCTTACATACTTACAAGATTTTTTTTTTTAATGCATGAGCTTTAAACTCGTTTTCTTACTTTAAATAGATGTCTATTAACTCTCCGTTTAGTCTCCAGGACCTCCTAGCCTAGTATAACAGCTCTAACAAAATAAGAGTGGATACAAACTCTGTAATTTACTCACAGGCATAAATGGGTATATAAATGTAAAAATGTGCACAATATTTTATGCCATGCTTGGCTTCATTGTGACCTAATATTTATAATATGTAAATAATGGCTTCCTTTTAAAGCAAAGAACTTTTAATACACAGATTCATCTGGAAGTCCTTTTTTCCCTTTGATATAAACAGAAATAAAAAGAAAAAAGTATTCTTACGCAGCAAATAAATACTCAATGACAAAGGTTACCACTGAAGGGATTTAAAATGACAGAAGTCAACAGAAAAATTTCAATATCATAATTCTACTTTAATATGAAGATATTGTTATCAAAGGGAAAGACTCCAGAAATTCTTTGATGAAAAATAATCTCACACTATCTTTGAAGCGGTTTCATTTATTTTACTACCCACAGTGTTCCTTATCAGAAGGCCAAGGGTAAGAAGTTTCCTACTTATGATTAGGAAAGAACCTGATAGATCAGAAGACACAATTGAAGTTGGACATAATAAGTATTAAAGTATTACATGACATTAATCCTGCCATTCCATTACTCTCTCCATCTTTGTGTGCAGACTAATTATTCTGTAGCCAGTATTCAGGAGAAAATAGAAACATACTTACTGTGGGCTGGAGTAATCTCTTTATTGCATCAACAAGGCTGACTCTGTACTGGTCCAGAAACAGGCTGACATTGAGAAGAGAGCAGAATCCAGATTAAACTGGGCCCCCAAGCCTAATGATCCCAATGGTGATAAGCACAAGGCTAATTACACATTTATACAACACTAGAGAAAGATTGCTCCCTTCCATTCAAGGATCTTGCTGGGGGAAATTTTAAAAACAGATACTGGGAACAGTGACTACCAGGTTGTCAACGCCAGGGTTCATACCCGACTCTGCTGTGTCAATGTCGCAGGGACAGGTCCCAAGATGTTTTTTTTCATGAGCATCATCTGGTGGAGATGGAACACTTGGTACTTTCTCTTGTTAGAGCCCTGTCTCCACTAGACCTGGCCCTTCTGCTCACCAGGACCACTGTGAGGCTGCCCTCTGCAAGTAAACCGTGTACCCAAACCACCGCGGCAATGTTGGGGAAAAGCAGGGTGGATCTTAATGATTTCCAGCAGTTTGAAGGAAAGGACCCAACAAACACCCCAGGAGCCAACAACCTCCAAAACAAAAGTTCAGGCAATGTGAGAGGCCATGGAAACTCAAGAACTTTCTTCCCTTGACCTCCATGTTGATTCTTTCCAAATCACTTGGTTTTCTCATTTTGCTCCTTGGGTTTTTAGAGTATTTATGTGTGGGTTTTTTGTTTTGTTTTATTTTGTTTGTCACCTATACGGTTGAGTGATCCTTACCCTATTTGCACCACAACTTCTCAGCAAATTTGTAACACAGCGTCTTCATCTAAAAAGATGTATCCAAGACTTAAGTTTGGATCACCTAGCAGTTGGTGGCAAGTTAACTTACACAGTTCAGGGTTTGAATGCAACCCTCTACATTCATAGGCTGCAGATCTGAGTTATGATGCCACTAGGTGGGTGCTACTTTGTTCTTCTGCCATAGAAGATACAGGGTCCCTCCCTGCTAGAAGACTCAACATTCAGGGCACTGACCCCAAACTTACCAGCACTTTAATCTTGAATTTCCTAGAGTCTAAAGTTATGAGCCATATTTCTGTTCTTTATAAATTGTTCAGTCTGTGCATTTCCTTGTAACAGCATAGACTGCACAGAAATACCTGAGTTTTATAGAAAGCAAACAAAGGTTTCCTTTGGGTCTGTGGTATGGAGGTGTTGTCTAGAGTAGAGTTCACCGGCACACACTGTGATCCTCGTGGCACAGCTAGAGCGCCCCACCAAGACAAGGCCTCTGGGCTGTGTCACCTCTACCAATGGGTATGAGCCACTTCTTTCTGAACTCCAAATGAGGATCTCTGAAATGTGGACAGTTCCAGCATGTCTGGGATGCCTTGTGGATACCAATGAGTACTGCCTGCTGGTAGGAGGGCTGCTGTCCTCCCTACCGTTCTGCTCTGATCTTTCTATGTGACCTTGGGTAACTCACTTCACATAAGACCTCAGTTTTCTTGTCAATAAAGCCCACCTCTGTGGCTGTGTTGGGCATCAGATTAACATGTTAATTCACAATTATATATTTATGACCTATGAGGGGTGATAGGCAATTGGGGCTAAGCTTTAAATAGACCTAAGTTCCATTCTTCACTGCCTGAGGCAGGTCATCGTGGTCCTGAAATGGAGGAAGTTTGCATCCCGTTTGCATCTCAGTGACACTAAACAGCTCCCTCACAGTGTTGCTGGGCTGTATTGACACTGAGGCAGAAGTTTGCCCACATAGGTGCTCTCCAACTTGATGAATCTCATTTTGAGAAAGGGGAGCATGAGTTGGGCACAGTGGTACATTCCTATCATCTTAGCACTTGGGAGGCTGAGGTCACAGGCTGGTTTGATTCTGAAGTAGTCAGTGCTGAGGATTGGACCCAGGGCTTCACGCATACTAAGCAAGCCCTAAGCCGTATTTCCTCCTCTAGAAAGGTGAATAATGGAAACAGGATCTCTTATGGGGAGCTACTATGTATACCCCTCCTTTCCACCTCTAAACCAGGATAACCTAGGAAAGCATTCTCTTTCACAAAGTTGCATCCTTAAACCCTGGCGCAAAGAATATGTTTAATTTAAATGCTACAAAGATGTCCCACTAAGTCAGTTAAGAATCAAAATCATTAAGAATTGATGAGGCAGACATCAGGTTGGAGCTACGTCTTTTACAAATCGTGCTTTTCAGGACACTCCACCTTATTCCTTAGGGAGGCTGGATAGTGTCTGCAGCTTGATATTGTTGATGTATTGACTGTGGTGTTCATGTGTCTACAAGAGCCCTCTGGCTGGTTGGCTATGCAGCAGCTAAGCAAAGGTCTCTTCTTGGTTTGTTTCTGCATTTTCTGAGAGCTGGTGAGACTCTCAGCAAAGATGAACAGCACGTTGCCGGCTGCGCCTCCCTCGTGCCCTTTCACAGCGCTCTTTCCACTGCGCCTTGGCAATGGTGACAAAGAGGTTAACATCACAGCCACTGCAAAGTGCAGCTTAACACCCGGAACACATTCCAAACACAGTCATTTCAAAGGTAATGGCATCTACCCCATCGTTCTAAATCAAATTTCCCAAAAGTAATTCTTGTGGTCCTCTAAAAAGATCTTTATTCCAAGCAAGCTCACTTTTCTACTTAGCTCCGATGCAGAATTCATAACGCTTTGTAGGGTACGTCATATGAGCAATTTCAATGTGCTTTAGTGGGAGTGATATGTAATCTCCTGAAAATTCACCCCTTAAATAAGTCCTAATGGCTCGGAGAACAGCAGTAGCTTAAGTGGATCTATTTAAAAAGGCTGAGTGGGTCAGTGATGGGGATGGAGATACCTTTCCACTCTCCTTCTGCTTACAGGGCAAAATACCCTGACAGTCCAGTTTGGCCATTAAAACACACATTCTCCAACACGCGAACCCCTCTAGGCCATTGCCTGCGGCAGCAACAATTGCTTTGTCCTGTAGATCCGAGTCAGATTTTCTGACAAAGGAAAGGTGTTGAATCCTCATGACCTCCTTAAGAACCCACTGTCTACAGAGCTGGGAGCATCTATCATTCTTGTCCTTGAGAAATTCACTTATTCATACAGAACATTCGGAGATGCTTCTGTCTCGTCAATACGCACAGAGAGAACGGCCGCTATGCAGTCTTCCTGGTGACTCGCTGTTTTAGACTTCACTTTCAACAGGGGGACCATCTCTGCTGTCCTCGTCACGAGCCTGTTTTGGAGGCAGTGCCCAGTGATGCCCCATTGTAACCTCACTTGGCTTTTGCCCCTTCAGTTGTGAAATTCTGGGCTCTTGAGGGATTTTCACCAAGGCTGAGTCTCCCCAGGTGAAGTTGAAAGGGCTGATCACACTGGAGCTAGAAACCCTCTCAGGGGTCAGGGACTGTGGGCTGTGCCTGAGCTGGCTGCATCATCACCGTAGCTGGGAGACAAGGACCTTTCAGAGCCCACGGTATTTCCATTTTGCGGGAGGAAAAAAACTTTTTCACAAAATCAACTTAAAAGCCAAACATTTCTTTCATCATTTAGAAGAAAGTAAAAAAGAATTGGGAAAAGGGAATGGCCTATCACATGCAATCAGTGGAAAGATGCTAGGGAGCAAGCAAGGCGGCCTGGAAGGCGGGGTAACAGGGCTTGGGGAGAAGCCTGGGTACTCGCTACTGTTTCTCCCCAAGCCCTCAGCTTTGGACTCATAGATGCGCTGATTGTCCTATGCATCCAGGTCCATGGACCAGGCAGTGGGTGGCATTTCAGACATGTTTTCTAAGCCTTGTGAGAATTCAAATGCACGACGTCATTTCTATATTTGCAGAACTGCCATAAACTGGAGAGCCATTGAATGGTAAAGCTAAATGGAGGCAAGCGTGCATTGGATTGGAAAAAGAAAATCTGACTTCCAGACTCTCAGATTACAAGTGGGATTGAAGCAGAGTCAGGAAAGATGGACTAAGCATTAGCAAAGCTTGCTCTTCATGACGCAGTGAGGACGAGCTGTACTGCATTCCTGCAGAAAGGAACGCTTTTACTACACTTAACACTGAATAAGTCAATGGAGGAACTTAATAGGCAGGTTTTTTCCTACCCCTGTGGTAAATATTCTAATATTTTGATGTTTGTCAACAGCCCTTTCCTTTTTTATAGGTGTGACTGTACCTCCATGCTCCTTTCTGCTTATTTCAAAGTTGACATTTTACAAGTTATTTAGGAACTATTGAACCATGAAACTATTTTTCATTGTCAAAAATGCTGAACGGTAAAATGACTGGCTTTCACAGTTTGCCTCTTTATTTTATAATCTGGTTGAGTGACTAAATTTGGATCTGGAGTAAGGGACTGTCTCTTCTGGGGAAACAAGTTATTTCCCCCCACTACCCACAGGTTTATGAACATTTGAATGTAAATATAGGAATATATGAACGGTTTAAGGACATAAACATATCACCACTTGCCACAATCATGTGCACTTCACTTGAACCACAGTGTGGGTTTGGGAGAGGTGAGTGAGCAGAGCTTGTTTCCATGTCAATGCGATCAAGAAGGACTATGGGTTAGCTATTCAGTGACTCAGACAATGCCACCCTTGCTGGAAATGCTGCAGTAAGAATTTAATCCACGGACCTAGCATTCAAACTTCCACCCACGCTTCCTATGGCCCACTCCAGATCTCACTGACTGGCAGTGATAAAGGTGGCGTGAGACTTAACATGACCTATTTTAAGTGCGGTGTTTCTTTCTGGCGTTGGAGATTTCGGGTTTCATCATGGAAGCAGCATCTACAGGCCGCTCTCGTTCGCTCCTCTGCGACATTCTAAATAATTCAGCGTGCTCTGCCGCCCCGTGGGAGCAACGTTCATGCAGTAACTCCGTGGAGTAACAGCAAACCAACGGGAAGTGAGGGACATGTGGAATCCCGGGCTTCACTGCCAGATGTACAGCGTGGCTATGACACATCCCTGTACTCCGCAAGTTTCTAAGCGGCTTAGCCATCTCCGTGAATGCGAAGGGAGACCATTACCAAAGCATTTCTTTTGGAAATAATATCAGCATCACCATAAAGAGTAGCTTAATGTTTTACATTTACAAATGGGAAATTACAGACAGGCTGACATTCGGGCACTTATAACACCAGGGGGAAAAAAACCTTAACCATCGATTCATGCATAGAAAAGCCATTTATAAAATGAAGTCTCGGGTATTTAGTTCATTTGAATCCATAAATAATTCTTACATAGCCACCAGATGTGTGTGTATAAGATTGCATTGTGTTATAGATCTGTAATGAAAGCCTTAAACTGAATATGCACCGTGTTTATCAATTCTATAAGACCCTATTGTCGGTCAGGGAAAAGAAAAAAAAAAAGACTATTTTTCAAACATGTTGTGCAGCTATTTTTAACCTAACTGAGAACATTAATCAGAAACAGCTTAACTCTTATTTCCTCTGCTAGTGCCTCTGGTACAAATAGGATGACATGGTATGAGTGTCCATGACACAGACATGACAAAGCTAGGCCGTTCTGATATTTGTGTGAAGCACAATTTAACTGCAAATCTCTTGGCCATTCCTGCCTTTCCCACATCATCAGAGTGCACTGGGTGTGACCCTCATCTGAACCGTTAAGGAGACGCGGCCCTGTCCCATCTTGCTGCTGCTCTCTGATCTGACTCTCCTGCTTAATCTCATCTAATCCCGCCGCATTATCTTCATCTGTACCACGAAACCTGGAGGGTCCTTTCTCATACTCTGTGGGGAAAAGCATTTACTAAATGACGTGGTAAACCACCTGGGTTGGTTTGAGCTCCTTTTTGATTAGATGGGGGAAGCATTAGGACGGAGGCATGTTGCCACTGATCAGCCAGAAAGCTAGGCTTCTCTCGTGAGACCAAAATGGTCCTGGAAAACCAGGAATTCTTAGCTAAAGGTAGAGCAGATATTTACTGTTTACTGCAAAGGCAAAGAAATTAGTAGGAGGATGGAGAATTAAAAAATAATAATAATAAAATTAAACAGCCAGGTGATGGTGGTAGAGCATGCCTTTAATTCCAGCACTTGGGAGGCAGAAGCAGGCAGAACTCTGTGAGTTTCAGGACAGCCTGTTCTACACAGAGAAACTCTTCTCCCCCCCCCCAAAAAAATGAAGGAAGGAAGGAAAAAAGACAGACAGAAAGAAAGAAAAAGAAAACCAAACCTAGTCCTGTTGACTTGGTGTGAAAGTAGGAAAGTGGAATTTGCATTTGAATAGTGATAAGTTACTTCCTGATGAATGGATCTGCTTTCCTCTGACTGAAATCTACTGTGAGTTCTGGGTCTTAGGACCGGGCTCATCAGTGTAACCGAAGGTAGGAATCTGAACTAAGGTGATTGTGGGGAACTCCAAGTAAGGGCTTACACTGAACAGAGAGAATGCTTGCCTCCGGCCCATGTTTTCCATACACTGAAATAACTACTCAGACTGAATGAGGAAAGACCCAAAATTAGTTGAGACAATCACAAAGATCTACGCATATGTATCCTGCAACCCGGGCTCAGGCTCCCATTAACAAATAAGTAGATTAGGCTAAGGTAGAAGACAGAATGTCTAGGGTAAATTTATTTAAAAGGATCAGACACCTGACAGATTTGGATGTTATTTGCATAAGAATAAAATGTGATTGTGTAATCTTGGTGATCTGTATAACTACATATCAGCTCTGAGCTGAAAACATTAGATATCAAATACAAGCTTTTAAAAAAAAGGCTATTTCCCACAAGATATCTCACGGATATATTTATTTGCCAAAGAGTATATACATGTGTACACATGTACATCCCTTGTATCAGATCTCTCCCAAGAAGTAAGCTAATTGAGCTGTTTGTGTTGATAAACTCCTTTTTCTCCAGACTGCTCCTCTCTGAGCCATAATTATTTGCAATTTGCCTAAGTCGTCCATTTACTGATACGTCAGGCATGAAACAGAGGCAATTCCAGAGAATGGAAATGCTCCTGCAAATCAATCTTCGGGAAATAATGCGGCAGAAGTTCCTGTGTGGCAGAGGCTGCCTCCTAGCCGTCACGTGGAGAGGAATATTAATTCGTTGAGGTTAAGGTGGCTTTGCGCTTCATTTGTTGACTTTGCTTAGCCGTCAGCAAAGCAGCGCGGCCCAATTACTCCAGCAAAGCTTTTCCCCCCCTAACAGGAGTTTTATGATTTTTATGTACTTACCAGTCAGCGCACATAACAATGTCAAAATGTCCTTCCAGTTGAGAGACATCTGTCTCATTATCCCATCGTAAAACGCTTGAGGAGAAAAAGATTTCAAAAATTATACTTGGGGTATTTTTTTTAAACTTTTGATTTTGTACTATTAACATTTTTGTGGCACATGGAATTATTTAAAAAGTATATACAAATTGTTTCAAAAGATACAATAAAAAAGCCTAGAATGTAACTGTCTTCTGTATTTTATTTTGTCTTTAAATGCAGAGAGGACGAATTCTTTAGGGAAATGCGAGAAGGGAGTTTGTGCTAAGTTTTATAGGTTTTTGTAGAAGAAGTAGACCTTATCTCAGTCCTTAGGATGATTCCTGACCCTTCTCAACAATGAGGGAAAAACTGAAATCGAAACATTCTCTGTCCAATCGGAACACGGATTTATAAAAACAAGCCATGTGAAATTTACTGTGTATCCCTTTTGCCTGCCACGGCAGCCATATTTCTTATTCACACAATGAACAGTGTGGCAAGGCGGAATGAAAGAAGAGTCCACTTCTAAGTGGCCATTCTCGGGGCTCTAAGCACACTTTAGAATTCGTCCCCCGTGGAATTCTAGATGCCAGTTCCACAAAAAGAGGCTTAGTGTTAAACTGCACATTAATAACAAAGGTTAACAGCGCACATTGGAAACCTGTAGCAACACTGAGGAAGCCAACCAGCGGCTCGACGCTCCCCACAGATGACAGCGGTGATGATTAACGTTTTATTATAAGACATCATTTTAAGGACATTTCTCCCCATACCCCAAAACTGTGGTTTGCAGTACTATTTCTTAGAAGTAAAATTCTGTGGCTACTTTTTACTTTGGTTCTTTGGAGAGGGACCGAGTGCTCAGACCTTACGTGGCCAATTGGATTTGCTTATTTGGGTGGGGTTTCCATTTCTTCTGTCTTCCCAGAGGCAAAGTCAAGTTTGAGTGCAAAAATGAGACTTCACCCTGGCCGGTCCAAAACTCCTTTTCATACATTTTGATAGACATAAATGGTTGTGACATTCTTAAGGGAGAGAAGATTACACACATCCCCTCATCACCAAGGAGGCTGAGGGCCAGTTGGTCACTCTTCTTTTTTTTTTTGACTCACACTTACTGAGCACCTACTGTATACTGCGTGTCAGGTTCTATCTGAGCTCCAGCCTTACTATCACAGAGGCAGCCTGACGAGCCATCCACGCACACCAGGGAAGGCTTTCGAGGAAAGGTTACCTCGTGCGACACAGGGAAAAGCTTTACAAATTAGCTCTTGTGTTCTTTACATCTTAGGCCCATGGGAGAGCCAAGTGACAAAGGAGACCAGCAAGTCCCTAAAGATAAAGGCTTACTTTATTTTTGGTACCTGGCAATACCAGCTTTTTCTGGACTTGGACTTGGAGGAGGGTGCCTCTCCTCAGCCTGCGTCAGAAACTTGAGATTTCCCGAGAGTTTATGAGTTTGTATACAAACAAGTGGGTTTAAAACCCAGAAGCTGGAGAGAGTGACATGGACATGTAATCCCAGCATTTAGTAGGCAGAGGAAGGAGGGTTGTGAGCTTGAGGCCGACCTGAGTGAGCTACACAGCAAGACCTTGCTAAAAAAGCCGAAACAAAACAAAACAAAACAAAAACCCGGCAAACGAACAGTATGGCTCTCTAATAGACCTTTGTAGATCATAAATGGAACACAGTCATCGTATATGTTTTGACAGAAAGTATTAAAATCACACGTGAGTCACCCTTTTGCCAATGACTATTAGATGCTTCTAATTCACATGTGATTGCTAAGGCTAAAGAAGACAAATGGCAGGGAACCCTGTGGTGATATTGGATATTGGCTTCCTGAGGCGCTCCAGTCTCCTGGTTCAACAAAGGCTAACTGGACTGATCAAGTCTGAGCAGCAATTGGCTATGGATCAACACAGAAACTGTAATGAATCACGGCTCTAAAGGAAACCAAAACACCCTACGTGGCTACTTAGCTCACAAAGATTTCCAAAAGGCACTTTGCTTGGTTTTCAAGAAATTTAGCCGAGGCTGTCCCTCTAACTGTAACCACGAGGTAGAGAGTGTAGCGGTGTAGTTAGAATTTCGCTTTGTGAGGTTCAAACCTTGGTTCTGACCTTTGGCGGCTGTGTGAGTCTGCACAATTACTCCACCACTCTGAGTCTGTTTTCTGTAAAATGGGGATGAGAATGCCCACATCCCTGAACACTCAAAGAGCACATGAAGTTGTAATGCTTGCTTGGCATCCCTATATCTACTTAGTCTTCTCTCTTGGAAAGACAGATAACTTTGTTATTTTAAGATCTGGTCCTTCTAATTCTTTGCTAATGTCCCTTTTCTCCATGCAAAGACTACTGCACACAGCCACACACACACACACACACACACACACACACACAGGCATGCGGACACACACAAATATGTGCACGCACCCCTCACAGGCATGCATGCATACATACATAAACATACACACTACATGAAGGCATACACACACACACACATACACACACACACAAGCTATGCTTCCACTGTGGGAGAAGGATTAGATTTTTGTAATGTTTGTGTTCAATTTGTTGCAGACCCATGAGATTTCAAACAAACAAATAGACAAACAAAACTCAGGCAGCTCACTGTAGGAAATGGGATGAGAACCCATAATCTTAGCTACCTGCAGGGTGAGGCAGGAAGATCACAAGTTCAGGTCAAGTCTGGACAGATTCTTAAGTCTCTATCTCAAGTTTATCGGGGTGAAGGTGAGGAGATGTTACCTCTGTGGTAGAGTCCTTGCCATGCACAGGACCTGGGTTCAGTCCTCAGTACCAAACCCAACAACAATTCAAAGGCATTCCAAATCTGTTACATTCATGTTTCTGAATGTTTTCTTTTAAGTCCCGTCATGTCCTCCCCCCGCCTCCACCATCCCCGTTCCTGACAGGGTTTCTCTCTGTAGTCCTGGCTATCCTGGAGACCACACTGGCTTCGAGCCCACAGAGATTCTCCTGCCTCTGCCTCCTATGCATCACCGGGCCCCTGGCTCAATTCTTAAACATAGCCTTTTGCATACGAATTTTTAACCTAGTTCCCATCCTGGCACTACTCACAGAAGAGCCCTACTCTAGACCCTATCTTTATCAATAACCCCCATTCACTCTCAGAGCAGCCCTTCTTATCAGGCCAGCTTACTTCTAGAAGGTTTTCTGACCCAAGCATCCTCAGTCTCACTGTCTAGTCTCCCAGTCTTGTCCAGGGCACTGTCTCCCGTCTCTGATGTTCGCCTTTCTTTCTTGTGCAGCTTACATGGCATTTCAGTAAGTCCCTTGGGTACTTTCTCAGCTCTCTCGTCTCTGCCTTCCTCATAACTGCTGAACCCAGTCCCCTGACTGGCCCAGTCAGTGCCCACGACCTGAAGGTGGGTGCTTCTGCTTTAAATGCATTACCGTGAAACCTGACTGAACTCAACGGCATTGGGCACTTGTTCTATGTGCGCGTCCATTCTCCTGTGCTGTTACTTTATACCTGTGATCTCTTTCAGTATACCAGTACTTTCTCCTTCATTTTTAGTCTCGGCTAATGACCTGCTTTTTACTTTGCCCTCAAGATTGCCAGTCAGACAAGAATGTCCCTATCTCACACCACGGCACATAATGCTCCTAGCAGAAAGTGCACTTCCCTAGTCTGTCTTCTGCCTACTAGCTCACTCCTGTCTCCCCAGCCAGAACCTTCTTATAGAGATCCACCCCTACTCACTGAGATCCATCCCTACTCACCGGGATCCACCCCTGGTCACCGAGATCCACCCCTGCACATCTCTCAAACGAGGCTCCGGCAGTTTCCTCCTCTCTCCTTCCCTGCCAGCAGTTTCTTCTCCGGCTTCTTCCCACCGGTCTTCAGCTGTGCAGTCCCTGCCTTCTTCATGAACTACTAGTTTTGTAGCTCCTTGTCTACTTCCTGGTCCAGCTAATGCCGTTTACTCCTCCAAAATGTTGTAACTTGGTTCCCAATTCTTTTCCTCTCCTTCTCTACTACCTCCGCTCTAATCAGATCACTCTCCCCAAAATGGTCTCATCAAACTCACCCAGGATCTCCACATGGCTAAGTCTGAGCCAGTTCTGTCTTCGTCCTCCTAACCAGCCTGAACTTCACTCATGAGCTTCAGATGCCTCATCCCCACCCTCACCGCTGTTTCTATACCTGCTCTTGGGTTTCTCCTAGACAGCCAAACTTCACATGTCCAAATCTGAACTCCTGACCCTCTGTCCCCACACACTTCATTTGTGGTCTTTCTCTGCTCACAAGAATGGCAGTTGTACCTTTTAGCTCAGGCCAAAAGTCTTGACCACGCTCCTGACTCTTACATCTCACACCAACTAGGTGAGAAAAGCAGTTAGTTGTGTCTTTGAAATACATCAAAATCCAACTAACTCACTCCACTTCCATGGGTGATACCTGTTCTAAACTGTCACCATCTCTCATCTGAATTACTCCAGGCTTCCAACTTGTCTCCCTGTTTCTGCCTGCGGCCCTAACATCTCTGCCCAGGAGAGCATCCAGAGTGTTCCTGTTAAAACATATCAGGGCAGGTGTGGTGGTGCACACTTTTAATCCCAGCACTCAGGAGGCAGAGGTCGGCAGACCTCTGTGTGAGTTCAAGGCCAGATTGATGATCTTCATGAACTGCATAGTGAGTTCTAGGCCAGTCAGGGCTACATAGAGAGACCTTGTCTCCACACACACACACACACACACACACACACACACACACACACGCACTCGCACACGCACATGCAAACACCCCATAAATTAGCTCAGAAACCTTGTGTACCCCCTAAGACAATGGACCAGACCCCACTCCATTGCTTGATTTCATCTCTTGTTCCTCACTTCCCTTTCTACTCTGCGCTAGTGGTTCCCATGGTTCCCATGGAACCAGCCACGCTCTGTTGAGACTGTGCTGGCTCTCTGCCCTAACTAAGTACCTCTCTTTCATATACCCTTGTGCCTCATATCCTCCCTTCCTTCAACCTTTGTGCAAATGTCTTATCTTTAT